ATTTAAATACACGTGTTAAGAGAGAGTTTGGGGTGTTCTCTCTACACCCCGCGAGTGACGACGGTAGAAAAACAGGCGCGAGTGACCGTGGGTTAAATACAGGATTCAGCAGCAATATTCACAGAGTAAATATCCGAAGGTCTTCACACCTTCAACCAGTGTTTAAAAATACACGTAAGTAAGGATTATTCACAAGTACAGCCGAGCTAATCGCTAGTCGAAACAATCCTCACTACACACTGGTTTAATCAAGACTCACCGCCCTACCGGTGAGCATATTTTCTTATAGGCGCGACAGAAAATTCCAGAAATATAACTGCTCGTGTCATTGAACGTGACACTAGGGGAGAGATCTACTACTTTCTGAAAGATTCCATAGGGTTCCGAACTCGCCAACATGGTCGGCAACTTGGTCGCCAAAAATGGTGCAACTTTGCTCTAACGCCAAGATTTCGCCACGTTCTCATTGAATCGCCATTATAACGTAAGGGGCGGCATTGTTTGTGAATGGTACAATTTTAACATGAAATAAGCATAACATAGAGTAATATAAATGCATTAAACATCCTAATACAAATTATATACACAATTTACACAAAATTCGTAACAATATATCTATACATATATTTACAAAGACTATCCGAAAAAATACAAAAAAAAAAAAAAAAACTATAAACATTTCTCTAAATATTGCTTAATTCAGAATTACCCAATTAATTCTATTAATAATTATTTGAATAAGGAAATTCTAAATAGTAAGGATTAAAATTCCTTAGAATAACAATAGTTTATTATTATAAATTTATCCTTTTTCCTAGATATAATTACGTCCATATTCTATAATTAGAGTAAAAAAATTACTTATATATTCTTATTTTTAATTCATATATAACTGTAGTGTCACAAAAGTTATGGTAGTTTGTAAACTCTGTTTTAAATTTTTTTATTTCTATTCTTTTCTTCCTTCTTTAAGAGCTACAATTCAGCCATTCCTAAGCTTTGAATTTACATTTGGGTCCAGAATCTAATAATAAATTATTTATTATACTCAGATTTAGTCCAGCCGCTGCATTTTTGAATGAAATTTTTAAGTAAGTTACCTTTATCTTGTAATGGATTTAGATATTCTATCCATTATTTACAGTAGGTTTTTGCTCAACGTTATTCACATAAAGGGGAAAGAGGTTGGCTGGTCACAAAACTTGTTCAACCCCACTTTTATATAAATTATTTTATATGTGAGCTGTCCTATAAGTCACCAATGTTTATAATACTGTAGGATCCATTTTTTTATATTTCGAACCCTATTATAATTTTAATTTCTCATATATCCTTCAATGACTCGTTTCTTTTAGAGTCTCAATTTTTTTTTTTTTTTTTTGATTTTGCTTCATGAATGTTTATTTCTTATTATTAGAGAATTTAAACTATATATATATAGTACAAAATATGCACGTTTTGCTTCAACATTTTGTGTCAATCTAGGACTGCATCAATTAAAATTGTGAATGCTTGTATAACAGCTTAAAAAAAGTCAATGCTTCCAGGAAAAAAAATGATATATTAAAGGGATTGACAAATTTCCTGCAAATACTATGCAAAAAATTAAGATTTTTTTTAAAGCGAAGAAAAATTTATCTATTCATCTAACCTTTAACTTGACCTAACCTAAGCCTTTAGACATACACATTTCGATTATTAAGCGAAAATTCAATAATTTTAAATTTTATTTACTTTTAATGGTCTCCCATAAATCTTTGCATAACCGAATAACAATTAACCTTTAACAACCCAATATATATACTACAGCTTCAATAACAAATGTCACCTCTTTCTGAGATTTTGAATCGAAAAAGATATCGACAATAAAATAAACATGGCTTGTATTATTATATACTATAGAGAATACGAAAAATATTTGTTCTACGAAAAATATGTTTACTCTTTTCAATATCTGATCTTCAAAAAATCTCTGTAAAGCTATGTTTATTATAAATTATAGCAACTTTCATTCTATGTCATAACAATAAAAACATGCAAATTTCCATTTTTATGTATGAGTAATTTTTATTATATTTCTTGCTCTAAACTTTGTGGAAATTGCATTCAAATATACAAACTCGCGAAACTTTCACGGAATTTTGAAATTCAAACATATTCAGGGAACTCTCAGTTATACATCTATCTTCTCCGTTATGTCCCAGGACTCATTCAAAAGTATTTTTCAAACTCTGTCATATTTTTCTTTGTTTCAGTGAACTCTTCTTCGAGAGTGCTTCAGAATTTTTATGGACATATCATAAAATTCCTCCGGTTCAATATCACCTGGGGAAGACGGCAGACCTCTGAAGAAGAGGAACGAATCCCTATAAAAATTTAATCAAAAAAGTATTTTTTTTCTCTTCAAAGTTTTCAAAAAGAGGAAGAAATGAGTCCGAGGCCAGAGATAATTCTCCTCAGTCGGGATTTGAATTGAATCCGGAAATTCATTCACGAATGGAAGCGAAGATTTCCGACTGGAAATTAAATGTTTCCGAATATCCTCTCCGGGAAAACTGTCACCGGAGTGTTTTGTTCCCCGGCGCCAAATTAAAGACAAGTTTTAAATTTCTCCTTTTCAGTTATTTTGGATGGAGTGATTTAATTACGGTGCGCTCTAATTCTTTCCCCTGAATTAATTTCAGCTTTCAAACGGAACTGCGCTTTATTCGCGTGAATGAGTCACGTTTCATTGTGTGTGTGTGCAATTTATGGGCACTCAAGAATTTAATTCATGGCGAGGTACAAGAGCGTGTTGCAAGATGAAACATTTTTCTCGCACTGAAATTTTACTCTTGAAGTTCAGATGAAAAGGATTTTACTGATAATAAATACAAAAATATTTCATTTAATGCTGACGCTGGATTAAATATGATTGTTGTGTCTGAAAAAAATACAGGTCTAACAGAAAAGTGAGTTTAAATAAACAAGTAATGTAAAAAAAACAAGTAATACAAAAAAAAATTAAAGTCAATTCCTACTTAGATAAAAAAAGAACATTTTTATTTTAGCTACTTTTTATTAAATACTTACAATACA